CGTATCGTTTCCGCTTATCGAAATTCGATCAACTTCTGAGTCCAGGTTAATCTGGTACTTTTTGAAAAAAATGCTAATAAAGCCATCTATACCAATGCTTTAAATTGATCCGTGATCAAATTGAAAAAAAAACATTCATTTATCACTCTTTTTTAAATCGTTCATATCAGCTTTTCGCTTTCTTATGCTTGATTTATATATTATGTCCCAAAATTCACTTTGGCGTTGTGCAGTCATCAATTTAACACGATCATATGTTTTAAGCTACGCTTGCGGAGCGTGATTGTAACATCTAACTGTGTTGCTATGGCAAATTGAACCGAAATTCGATGTTAATCAATAGTTGAATTGTCGTATTATATTTCCGAGGACGAAAAACCCCAAGAGATAAAATTTTGTGAAGTTTTTGAAGAGGGGATTTGATCAGGATAAGGAAACTTATCAAAGGAGAGGTGTATAAATTTACTCAAAATTTTCACAACAGAAAACTGGACCTCTAAACATGCAAGAAACTCACAACTGAACAACATCATCAATACGTATGATGGTTCAGATCAGTTTTGAAAATCGCTCCAAGCGCATTTCCTCCATAAGTCAAAACTCACTGCGCGAACTGAGTTCGTCGGTTAGATAAGTTTGTTTTGTTGAACGAAATCGAATAGGGAAATGTGGATATGTAGTTGCCAAATCTTTTCTTGCACGGATCCATAAAGCGAGGGTGACGGGAATACGCTAATATGATAACACTATCACTGCAGTGGTTCTGCTCCTTCTAATGCAGATGATTCATCGCATTCATGATATGCCTCAAAATTGCCATAAGGACACATTCACTGTCATCAATCAGCAATGTGCACTGTAAGCAATGACCGTTTGAGTTGCTAAATCGCAAACAATGAAACAATTAATATCGAATGAAAAACATGCGGAACTTGTGCGTGCAGTTTGCTGAACGAAACGATACATTCAGCGCTTAGCAATTAGTCTTGAAGTGCATCTAGTCGTATGATAAATTCACTTTTCAATAAACCACTTCGTCTACATACAAAAAATTCCAGCGTCGTTTTACTCTGTGTAATCAGATTATAACGAAATAAATCATGCAATTAGCAAAAATCGTATTGCACGCTTTCACTGGAACAATAGTACATTTTAAATCTCGAAATTATTGACAGAATTAGTTGGGTATGTGGAACTGATTGCTAATTTTCCACTTAATTAAATATTTTCTCTTATTTCTGGTATGCAGACTGCAGCAAATTAAAAAAAAA